GACTCGTGAGGTCCTTGGTGAGAAGGGTCGTAGGATTAGAGAGCTCACTGCTCTTGTTGAGAGACGTTTCGATTTCCCTGAGAACTCCGTCGAGCTCTTTGCTGAGCGTGTCGATAATCGTGCTCTCTGTGCCCAGGCTCAAGCTGAATCACTTCGTTACAAGCTATTGGGTGGTCTTCCTGTTCGTAGGGCTGCTTATGGTGTATTAAGGTTTGTTATGGAGAATGGTGCTAAGGGTGTTGAGGTTACTGTATCTGGTAAACTACGTGCCCAACGTGCTAAGGTTATGAAGTTTGCTGATGGTTATCTCCTATCTACTGGTACTCCTAAGGAGATGTATGTTGATCAAGCTATTCGTAATGTCGATATGCGTCAGGGTATTCTTGGTATCAGAGTTAAGATTATGATGGCTTATGATCCTGAGGGTAAGAGTGGTCCCAAGACTCGTCTACCTGATGATATCACCATTCACGAGCCTAAGGAGGATACCGTCTTCCCTATCGAGGCTACTACCACCGAGGAGGAAGCGCCAGTGGCAGCTCCTGAGACCGCTGTAGCTCAGGAGCAGCAACAGCCTGCTGCTGCTGTGGAGATCACCGCTTAAGTAGCTGATGATGATTATGGTTTAATCACATTTAGACCAATATTGACGAGCCGCTACTTGCTATCCTGCTTCAAAGTATATATCGACTTGTGTTTAGTAACATACTTAACTAGACAAGGGGAAATGTTAATAAGCATCGTCATTGAATGGTAATATTATTAGGTTTATCTCCTACTGGTGTGGTAGTAGTAGAATATGAAGTACTCTTAATTGATGGTGAGTAATTGGTCACAAGTTTCTCTTTCTTTAATTTGCTATTGCCTATCTTGGACTTGTCTATCAATGTAGGTGGCTGACCTCTGCTACCATCATCGTCCTTTTCTAGTAATGTTGATACATCTGAGTAGTATAATAACAACGAGCGCCGATATGTGTTACTAATAATCCTATTACAATCCTTTGGAACAACCTCATTGGTTGTTCTAACATCACTGAATATTTCATCGTCTTGGAACGTATTGGGTCGTATCAGAGGTTGTGATGTTGTTCTTGGTTTCTGCCCCGACGACGATGGCAGCTGCTGCTCGCTTCTACTACCGAATCTAGCTGTCTCTTGTTGCTGTAACTCCTCATGTTTATGGAAGTCCCTACTGATAATATTAATACGTTACTTATATAATAATGTATCATTGTTACCCGATAGTAGGAGCTCCTGTTGGTAGGATTATATGATTATTCTTCTGGGACGTTGTTCCATTACAATGGTTATCCTTAGTCGTCCCCTCTGTCCTAGTAGGGTCTTTATTTCTATAATCATGTTTATCTGTTTATTGACTATGAGCTATCATCATCACTAATTCTTTTGAGTACTTCCTCTTCCTCCCGTATCAACTGTATCCCTCTCCTTCTGAGATCGTTGTTCGTGACCTGATACAACGGATAGTAAGCACTCATGAGTCATAGTAAGAAGACTACTACCTCCCTCCCTGTTTTTGATTAAAACTTCAACATGATCATTAGCTTCATCCAATGCCCTCTGCCACTGTCTAACTCTATACATGCTGTTACCTCCCTCTGCATTATATCGACGCTTGTTATTCTGATAGTCATTGTATCGGTGATTATCATACTGATAATAGTACATGTTTGGATTTATTGCCCTTATTGAGCATACGTTGGACAGCATTGGTAACCTGTAATAGAGCTTCCCTATGCCCACCAAGTTCACGGTAAAGATCAGATAGTGAAATGTATCTATGATAGATATGTAAAACGGGCAGTAACAGCAGGCATGTTCTTACCCTGATAATGGTGATGCTACTATTGCTACATCATCTTCGCCACGTACCATGTGGTCTTGTTGTTGAATAGGTGATCGTCTTGCCCTAACGTTACTTCGACTCCCTTCTACAATAGGTTCATAGTGTTGGACAACAACAGGAGGAGAAGGAGGAGGACGAGGTTCCACAGTATCATAACTCTCCGTTGTCGAATGTCTGTGGTAGACATCATACAAGTACTCATATAGTCGACTTGCCTCTGGGTAAGGACTTCAGTATGTTGTTGTTCCGAGCCTTCATGTGACACGATCTCATCCTCTTCATCATAATCATCGATAGGTTTATCATCATCATCATGAGCAGTCCGTGTGGATAATGGTGGTACTACCTCTACCACCGGTGGTACTGTGTGGTGGACATCATCATGCTCATTATGATGATGATGATCAACATGATATTTAACCATTAATAGAGTAGCTTCACGTTGTAAATACTCTAACCCTCGTCTATGACGTGTTAATGCCTATAACATCTTAGCCTCCATCATCAGTGTCTCCACCATTATCTTCACTATTACCTTGCCCAATCTGATGTCTCGTCCTTTAGCCTCCCGTATAAGGGACACTATAAGTTCATGTTTGAGGTTCCGTGTAGACCCTCTCCTACTACTACTATCACCAACAACAAGAAGAGCTTCTTCATGTCGACTATGAAGGTGTAGTATATGTGATCTATGATCTTCAAGTGCCTGACCATACTAATAATGGTAATTACCATACCACAACAACAACAACAACAACAACAACAACAACAACAACAACAACAGCGGCGGTAGCAGCAGAAGCAGGTTACTTTCTCTAAAGCCATTTGCCATTCAGTAGCGCTCTTGAGTAGACTCCTCATCTCCCGACGAGCATCCTGTGATGATAGTTTGCATTGCCGATTCAATCGCTCTACCAAAGTATAGTGCGACTTCAATACCTTAATGACTAATAATAACAAGGATTAGTAGCATAATAATCAGCATCACCCTTCTCATCTCCAATTCCCTCCTTTTAGCATTCCTCATAGCCTTATCGAACTGTTCCTCATCAACATTCCTCACCACCCTACTCCTGGATAATAATACAACATAACCCCTACACCGCTATACTTAGGACGATACCTCATATTATTTTTATTCGATTTCATCTTATTCATCCTCCTATATGATAATTCATTATCATCATTGTTATTATTATGGGATAATACTCCAGCATGGTAAGAGCCACCTAGTAGGGGTCAGCACTCACACTACTACTCCATAGATTACATTGCTACTACTACTACCAGGATGTGGTGTGTGACGACTCTGTCCTCCAGAAGGTATCCACAATGATCGTGTGTCATGATCATCATCATAATCATCCTCTATAGTAGGGTATGAATTTATCATAAGCTTCTTGCTATACTCCCTGGAACAGAGTATCATCATCATCACCATACCACGGGGCCTTCATGATAACAACAACAACACAACTTCGGGAGAAAAGATACTTGAAGCATCATCATCACCTATACCATAATTTCCACACAATAACATTACATATCTCGATACAATTGTGAACACAGAAAGCATTAGTTATGACGGTAGCCACGGACCAATAGGATAGCTAACAGCAGCCTTGGTAGTAGTGATGGCCACTATAATGATGACGAGTAGTAGTACTAGTGAGTATGATTATTATTATTGTTGTTGTTGATGATGATCAATTCTGATATTTGAGTAGTAATGGATATATATTACGAAAGGCATTAGTAATATCATCTCTATTCTTAGCACCAGTAAATACTATTTTTCCAGATACAAATATTAATAATGCAACTTTAGGTTCAAATAATCGGAATACCAGACCAGGATATAGTTCTGGTTCATAACTACAATAGGATCGATGCTCATAGGCTAATGCTTCTAAACGTATTGGGAATCTAACATCTGCTGATGCTACCATATTCTCTATTTTAAATCTTCTAAATCTAGCTTGAGGATAAGCACCACTTTTTATAACTATTTTAGCAACCTTCTTTGCTGCATCTTTTGCAGTTTCTTCAGAATTACTACCAGTAACCATAACCTTACCAGTACCATATAACATTGCAGTTGCTTTTGGATCTCTAAACCTTATTACTACTGCATTAACCTTACGAGGATTATATTCAGCATTACGTGCTTTAAATGCAACTTTCTTCAAATCAATAAGATGACTCGACGATGATGACGACCCACCAGTAGTAGTAGTAGAATGAGTACTATTTATTATACCAAGTTCGACTGATGCAATAACATTCTCTAATACTGGATATACTGTTTCTGGTATTATACAACCATCATAACCAACATCATCACTAGCCATAATAAGACCATCATTATTACTACTCTCTAGACTCGTAGTCTCATGATTATCTTCCCTCGCCCCATACAAACGACAACCATCATTATCATCAGTACCTGAATATGCAGAAAACATCGTAATAAGTAGCGAGAGATAAGCATACCCAATAGTGTCATCACGATGAGTGCCTCTAGTAACACTGATATATATTATAGCAATTGTATGGTTCGGTATATTCTCATATCAGATGATATAAGTTGTTGATAATTCTATGAGATCATAAGAGCATATGATGAGCAATGATGAATGTCCAGTTCGAGGTGGTGTGTGGTGGTGGTTGAATGTATTCCCCCGTTAATGCAGCAGAGTATGGTTACATGGCAGTGTGTATACCCTCCATGGATTAATGATGAGGTATTCCCTACTACCACTCCTGCTACTATTCTATCTAGAGAGGACTAGTATACCACCATGAATGGCACTGTGTAGCATGAGGATGTGACCAGAGAGAGCCTACTGATGTATAATAGATCCATGAGCGGGTATCGGTATGAATCTTTACTGCTCGCTACTACTATTCATCATCTACGTGGGTACCTCGCAACCTATGCTTTGCTGATAGTTCTCTAATGTTCCTAGGAGTTACCAAACTCATTGAAAGGTAAAGTGAATAGGCAGGGATATATGGCACCAACAGGTCGAGAATCATACACCTACTACTACTACTACCATCCTCCTCATCCTCTTACTCACCTTTCCTTGGAGTATTATTCCCATGCAGTGGTAATGATGAGAATATTGCTGTTGACAATACATCACCAACATGACCTATTAATGGGTTGACTCCATATCCATACTATTATCCACACTACTACTACCTCCTCCTCCCCCTTCTGAGCCTAGCAGGTTTATTAGAAACTCATCAGAATGTAGAGATGTTTCAATAATGTTCTTGTTGTTATTATCACTCATACTGCAGAATCATAACACACGTGAGCAAGTATAATAATAATACCACGCGCAAACTTCTCCTACCTATTGAAGTGAACCAAACAATCGGAGTATGTATGATGTATTCATCAGCGATGTAGCAGTACGAAGAGTAACGTATTGAGGTATGATGATGATAACGTAATAGTACGTAGTAGTAGTAATAGCAATCTTCATTGGTTACAATAATGTAACGATAAGCATCTCTAGTAAACGACGAACCAGAGGTCGGCGGCGATGACGGGGATAATACATATAATACATATGGAAGAAGGCAGCATCCTATGTGAATACAGAATAACAATCAAGCTCATTAAATGATTAGTAGTACTAGTGAGTATGATTATTATTATTGTTGTTTTTTTCTGATGATCAATTCTGATATTTGAGTAGTAATGGGTATATATTACGAAAGGCATTAGTAATATCATCTCTATTCTTAGCACCAGTAAATACTATTTTTCCAGATACAAATATTAATAATGCAACTTTAGGTTCAAATAATCGGAATACCAGACCAGGATATAGTTCTGGTTCATAACTACAATAGGATCGATGCTCATAGGCTAATGCCTCTAAACGTATTGGGAATCTAACATCTGCTGATGCTACCATATTCTCTATTTTAAATCTTCTAAATCTAGCTTGAGGATAAGCACCACTTTTTATAACTATTTTAGCAACCTTCTTTGCTGCATCCTTTGCAGTTTCTTCAGAATTACTACCAGTAACCATAACCTTACCAGTACCATATAACATTGCAGTTGCTTTTGGATCTCTAAATCTTATTACTACTGCATTAACCTTACGAGGATTATATTCAGCATTACGTGCTTTAAATGCAACTTTCTTCAAATCAATAAGATGACTCGATGACGATGACGACCCACCAGTAGTAGTAGTAGAATGAGTACTATTTATTATACCAAGTTCGACTGATGCAATAACATTCTCTAATACTGGATATACTGTTTCTGGTATTACACAACCATCATAACCAACATCATCATCATCACTAGCCATAATAAGACCATCATTATTACTACTCTCTAGACTCGTAGTCTCATGATTATCTTCCCTCGCTCCATACAAACGACAACCATCATTATCATCAGTACCTGAATATAATGATTACTACTATGAATAGATTATCAAGTATCATTACCACTTGGTATAAGAGTGGATTCAACCACTTGCTTATTGCTAGTACCCAACAAAGAGTCGATATCAAAGTCGGACAACATCGATAAACAGATAACACTGATAACGATAAGTTTATATATTAACGCAAGATTAGTAATGATATTCAATCCTTGTATTGTGTCAATAATGGATATATACTACAGAATGCTTTACTGATATCATCTAATGTCTTACCACCAATAAATGATATCTTACCCGATACATATATCATTATAACAAGTTTAGGATCAAATAGTCTAAAGTAGAGACCAGAAGAAAGCTCAGGTTCATAAGTAGCATATGCACTGTGATCATAGGCTAACCTTTCCAGACGTATGGGGAATCTTACATCGACTGATGCTATCATATTCTCAACTTTAAAGTTAATAAACTTTATACTAGGATTATGTGTTATCCTCCTCACAAGTTTAACAATCTTCTTACCAATCTTCTTAGCCAACTCGATAGTATAAGCACCATTTATCATTACTTTACCATTACGGTAGATATGGCATGTAGCTTTAGTAGGACTAGTAAATCTTATCACAGCACAGTTATGTTTACGAGGGTTATACTCACAATTACGGAGATTGAAGGCAATAGTCTTAGGATCAATATCAATACCCAACTCGAATGATGCAATTACATTATCCAATACTGGATTCATACCATCTGGTATCATATTAATAGCGACATCATCGATATTAGTAGTAGGAACATAACCATTAACCTCATTATTAGGTATAACCACTACATCAGTAGTAATGGATCCTGCTGATGGACTATCACGACCTTCTTCTTCTTCATGATTATGAACACCATCTGGTAATAATAGATCATCAATGGACGCATCTTTATGAGCACCTCCTACAAAAA